TAACTGTAATTCTGGAAATTATGGCCTAAATCACCGATAGGTTGCATCTATCTTGGGCTTCACTGCTGACAGATCAGGAACGTAAAACAGGTATGGACTTCTTGAGTTAGTTCTCTGGAGTTGCAGCAAAATTTGTTGCATAATCCCTAAATAAGCATAAATTACACATAATCACAAACGTTTTCTCATCTGCACTTTAGAATTGAATACATCCGAGTGATGCTGCAGGACCCCATTTTGATGGCTAAAAATCTGCTTATGACTTCAATAGATTGTTTCTCACTTCAGATTTAATTACTCTTAGCACCAAACTCTTAGCTCAAATAATTCTTTCTCTCTGAAGCCTATTTTCTGCTATATTTCTGCTCACTCTCTATTTTCCTAGTTCGAACCAAGCCCATCTCCAGTTTTCCCTGTGATACAAGAAGTTCGTTCTCTCCTCATTCCAGCTGGAACCCCCCAGCGTGGATGTCCAGAATTGCCCAAAGGATTCCAAAAGGTCAGTTCTCACATTCACCCTATTTGGCGCAGGTTTCCTGGTGGAGTCAGCCCCCAGCTGCAGTGGTGCTGGCATCGTGCCGGAGAGCAGCAGGTGCCGAAAACAGCCTGGCACGTGGAGACGGCCCCGCTGCTCTCCTAGAGACCGGCACCGCTCAATGGAGCCACCCGTGGAGCTTTACGGAGACGCGTGGCCCACGCACGTGGTGATGGTCCTGGGACCAGGCCTGGAGCAGGAGATGTTTCACACTTACATCACGCTTCTGTGCTGTAATGCACAGTAAAATGGTAATTAGCGTTATTACCTATCGCGGTGCCTGCAATTCGGTTGATATAATCATTTATACTAAGGACGCACCTTCCATCTTCAGGGACGGTCTAAACTTGTCCAGGTTGCACAGCAAGCTGCATTACAAGAGGAGATGAAATGGCCAAGGAAAACTTCCACGAGGGCTTTCACTGTACCAGCTAACATCCGTACCAGCTAATGCCCATACCAGCTGGAAGGGCCCAGTACAGCAGATGACACAAGTGACCCAGATGGAGATGACAACAGCCCCACACCTTTGAGTCTTTATCCCAAATTGAAATAGAAATTAACTGTATGAAGCTTAATGGTTTGCATAACTTTTCTCTTATTTACAGGAATCTTTCTGGTTCTGGCATGAGGTCAAGGCATCTGAATTCTAATCAGCAACAAAAAGCACACAAAGCAGACGAATAACAAGACTTCTCGCTAGGGATTTGTTAGCCAGTTCTGAAGATCCAGGAGGCCCAGCAAGGATTTTATAGATTTGGGGCAATTATTTTCTGCAGTGCCAAAACATTTCGATACCTTCCCATCTCTTTCCTTATTAATAGAGATCAGAGAGACTTTCTTCTACCTGTTCTCAGAAATAAGATGAACACAAGTGGTTTTACACATGGAGGTCACAAAGAAGGGCATATTCTCTCCACTGGTACCTCATAGAGAAATGAAATGCTACGTTATAGAGAAATAAAATTTGGAACGTAAGTTTTACAGGAAAATTCTCATCTGAAAGTAAATGTGGAGGAACTGAAGATTTGTATCATGTAATTTTAATAGGCATAATTAAACTTCTTATATTACAACCCACATTTACCCCCAAAAATGAAATCTTGGTGGGGAGGGGGACGGAAGGCCTGTATGCTCTTCTCTAACTGTTGGGGCACTGACTTCTGCTGCTGCAGCCACTTGGAGCTTTGTGATCTCAAACCACTAAATATTATCAATGGCAAATCCTAACGTTGACTTTCTTTCCTTGATCACTTACAGCTGTTCTTGCCACAAAAGCAATTACTTTTATAGCAGCACGTCCCATTAACACCACAAGCATTCTCAGCTATGACAAAATTGTCCCTTGACATGGTGAAAAACATCAATTTAACCCTACTCAACAGGCAGTAACAGTGTTTGGAATACAGGTTCTCGCACCTTTCTGGAAGACTGGGGCACTTAGGGCAACAATCTCTAGGAGTTCGGCTCTCTCACAGCCTGGTTTCAGGCCAAATGCTGACAAGGATGAATTTTTAGTGGAAAAATGATATTCACAGATTTGCTGAAGTTGGTGCTATGTCACTGAGCTCTGTAAAACTGCATGCATCAGTGTACAACTTATTCCTAAAATTCTGAAAATACTGGAGCTGAAGAGAACAAAAATCACCAAATAACTCAGGGGAAAAAAAAAAGAAAAAAAAAAAAGAAAAGAAACAACCCGAAGTATTAGTGAAAAAGCTGTCCTGAGTTGCAGTGGCATCTCCTGTGAACTCCAGGGTGTGCCAAAACCCAGCACTGTGTCTGTTTGAGAAGTGATGGTGTTAATAGGAGTCATTCAGTGTTTATCCGTTCAAAGTGCTAGGCAAACATTAATTAGGCAGTCAGGTATAGAAATGCAAAGTGCTGCAGAATTGACCAAAACATAAATAAATTAATTATAGCACTGCAACAGATTAATCGTTTTCTAGCTACCCACTACCAACAAAGCACCACACATAGCACTATACAGGACTAGCAAAAATGCTGAACAAATTGAATTGCTGCAACATTTGCAGAAGACCATAATTTAACATGTACAACAGTACTTCTTGGTTTAATTATTTATATTCAGACATGGAATTAGCACTATTTCCCTTTTATATTTAACCTACATCTACTTGGACAAAAGCATGAATTCAAATAGGCTTCTGAATATTCATCTTTGAATCATCTTTTACATCATTTCTGTATTTAAATTTTTAAGAGATGACTATCCACGTTTTATTGAAATTCACTGGGCACTAGTGAACAAACTTTTATGTTTTCTGACAACACTCCTGCTTTAGTTGTCAGAGACTGGCATTAGTGACCACTTGTTACTGTATGCTTAGCTCTTATATAGGACATAACAAATAAAAATAGACACTAATTTAAGCCTTATGTTATTTTGAACTAACTGAAAGTCAAAAAATATTCTATCAGATCCATATCTTTTCTAAATAGTGCAATATATTTTTAAATTCTGATGTATGTATACAGTCACCTAAGTGAAATTATTGCTTTTAGTTAACCTTGCAGCAGGTTTTCTAATGTGCACACCTACTTACCAAAGGGAAAACCAGGTCAGAGAAACCATACGAATCTCAATTATAGTGATTTTTTGTGTAACAATAGGAAACACTGGAAAATATATACATATATATATATATATACACACACACACACCTTTCCCTTCAGGAAATATATAAATATATGGGCATGCTTTAAATATTGTGGTCTGAATAACTACTGAGGTATTTGGTTATGCTGTATCACCACACAACAGAAGGAGAAAGAATGCCTGAACAGATATTTCTAAGCATATTTTCATGTTTTTAAAAAAAGTACCCAAAACATATGATCCTCAGAGAAGTTTCTCTTCTTTTTCCTGACTTCTGTTCTCAAGTGCATAGTTCTAGATTAGAAATGTATATTCTTCAACAGATAAAAGGTGAAATAAGGCTTTTCGTTTTGCCTTAATGAGAATTAAATAATTTATAGGAACACCTGTGGAGTCAATGCCGATGCTCCTAACTTTTGCAGATCGCTGCAATTTCCCTGAGCCGTCCCTGCGGTCCCCGCGGAGGCTCCGCAGCTCGCGGGCTGCGCCGGGCTGCCAGGAGAGCCCTCACCAGCAGAGCCGCTACCCCAGTTGCTGCATGTTAGTTTTCATAGACTATTCTGCCTCTTGTCTTACTCTCTTTTTTTTTTTTTTTTTTTAAACCATCATCCCCACTGGGAATACCTAAATTGATATATATCAACCATCAAGCCTGCAGAAAGCATCATTTTTATAGGGATAGGACTGCTGCAATGCACATGACATGGCATTGCAGACCTGCTTGCAAGCAATTCTCTGCCAGCTTAGAACCTGTCAAAGCACATTTAAAATGGCTGGGAACCAAAATTTAAGAATAAGTACCAGTAAGCACCAGAATAAAGAGGCTTTGTGTCTAGCTAAGCAGAAGAAAGTCAACACTATTCTCTGTGGTTCACTATTACCCAAAATGCTGAAAAAGTACCCTGGCAATAAACATGCATAAAAGGCAGGAAAGGACAAGTTATTAAAGAAAACAGTAGCAAAAATTCTGAGAGTCAACCAGCAAATAAACTAGAGTAATAGAGAGGAACACTATGATGACATAAACATGCATTAGAAAACTAACAGTCCCTATTCAGAACAAATTACATGTGAAGGAATAAAAATGCCTTTCAAGGAGAAAATTAGTGTGCCCAGAGCAGGAGAAATTGGCATCCAGGTCCACTGGGGCCTAGGAACTGTTTCAAGAAAGGGCAAAAAAATCTTATTTTGCCCAGAATCTCTGCATAGATGAGGTGACCTCTGGAGACCGTCTAGCCCAAGCCCCTGTTCAGCTTTGGGGGTTTGATCATCCTCACAGTAAAAAAAATATTTGCTCTGGAAGTTCAACCAGAACTGCTGGTGTTTCACTTGGTGCCTGTTGCCTCAGTCCCAGTGCTGAGAGAAGTTTGGCTCTATCACCTTTTTGGTAATTCTATAGTTAAATAAGGACATTTACCGAAGATGGTTATAATGCTGAAATATGTTACTCTAATTATTTGTTAAATGAAGCAAGGTCCTAGATGTGCCGCTCCTCACAATATCCTTTTAATCGAATTTGAAGCTATATTCTATGTAGGCTTAATTGAGCATTGAAATACTTAGCACCAAACACGGGAAAACAACTTTCATCAACAGCAACTTTGAATTAAAAATGCGTTAACGCAGATCTTCGAAACATCAAGCGTTTGCTGTGCAGACACTAATCCATATTAAAGGAGCTCATTAAGAACTTCAGTTTGATCTATTCAGCAACCTTTGCTAAGGCCATTTATGGAGCAGAGACTTATTTTGCCACTTTATCGCTAGCATATGAAGCACGGTGCACTCTTGCAATTGTGTTCAATGCGGTAGCACTTCTGCATGAGTTTTCAAAGGACACTTTACCTGCCAGGCACACCATGAGCGACTGCAGCACCAGCAGCTCCCATAGCACCCTCATCTTCAGGATCCAGGTCAAGGCAGGCTCGAGGCTAGTAACTGGAGGGCAGAATAGGGCTCCTTCCAAATTTTTATGCAACCTCTAATCTGTAAAAGACAAAAGAGAAATTATTATTATACTTGGGATTGCAACATCTCCTGTTCGTTCACAATCTTTCTTTCCAGCACACTCGCATCTGAAGATAAACTAAAAGTTTTTGAAGCATTAAAATTAGAATCATTTGGAGAGGAGCAAACAAGCAGATTATTAGTGGAGATGTCAGGAAAGTTGCAGAGGGAACCAACTTTGCAGAAGCAATGACCTGAGTATGGCAAGCAGGAGAGGCTCCCCCGTAGCTGCATCTTCCACCAGGGTGTTTGGACATCGCTCAGTTCTCCCAGCAGTAGGTTCAGACCTTGCAGTAATCCCAAGTATAACTAGGTAACTCCACAAATTGCAGGTAAGAAGAAAGTTACAGCAACAGGAAATTTACAGGCCAAGCAAAAGCAGCAAGATATAAGGCTCTGCTTATCCCTGCACTATATCCCCCCGCTGCATTAGAAAAAGAGAGAAACGGCACCGCTTACGAAAGGAACCTTTTCCAGAGCAGGCATTTAAATATTAAAAAATAAATAAATCAAGTCAGACACACATTCTTATAATTTATTCATATCACTTAGGGCTGGAAGTTAAGGGGCTTTCATGCTTACAAGATAAACCGCATGACTAATAGCATGTGAAGGGGTAGCATCAGAGGTCTATGCTTGCTTTTGTGAATTAAAATTGGTAAGATCCTTCTAATAAAGTTAAGCCCAATACACTAGGAGGGCTAAAAATCTGTATCTTCTGATCTGAAGATGCAGTCTTTATGGGGGTAGAGATTAATTGAATATACTCATCCCTGCTCACACACTGATTAGGCTAGCTAGGGATAAGCAGGAAGGGTTGATCAATGAAAACTAATAACATCTTATGTGAATGATTAAAGTATTAATTATTAATTTTTGTAGAAAATATCATCATAGGCCTCTCTATTGATCTACCAAGTAAAGCAGCTACTGCCTTCCGTGCTTGTAAACACTTCCAATGGTACGAAAGTTAAAAATGTAGGTCCAGGGAAACCGGAATCTGCCCAAATCATGTGCAACACCTCTATTTACTGCACAGGCTTTGACGACCCGGTTGACAGGAGGATGAGGAGCAAAAGGCTTCATGAAATGCCATGGAAATGGCAGTTCCATCTCATGTTCAGCTTTCTCATTTCTCAGCAGTGTTCCCTATTTCACATTAGATCTTGAAAATGCTCCCTTGGAAACATAGCTGCTGCTCCAGCTGCTTGTTCGCAGCCATGTACAGACTGTGGAAACACGCTGCCTTTTTACGGCAACAACTTCAGAAGAGGCAACATTTGTGCTGGAGCAAAAGATACATAATTGAAAAGCTCCTGCCCATTTCTAAATGTTTTCTGACTATAAAATCCCAGGGGGAGTGCTGCTTCTGAAGAATATAAGATGCCTGAAAACTTGTAAAACGTATTATTTTATTTCCAGAAGGGCTTATCTATGTAGCTTCAGCACTATATATTTTTTAAACATGAAAATGCGAGCGCAGCGCGTTAGACTGGAAGAGCATCCCATTGGGAAACCTCCCGGCACCGTGTGCGCAGGTCCGTTTAACTTCCCTTTTGGCAGCGTGGTCGCAGCAAATGCACCTGAAAGGCACCTTTGTTTGTAATTGGATTTTGACAAAGAAACTTGACTTGAGGAGCTTTGACTGTAATCAAGAGGGGGGAGAAAAAAAAAAAAAAAGAAGAAAGAAAAAAAGAAAAAGAGGCAGCAAAGCATTGCCGGAATATTTGCGGTGGGATTTTCTAAGCTAGCAGGCATGGTGTTTTGTCAGTAATTCCATTCGATTTTTAAAGCTTAACACTTCTGGAAAAAACAAGCACCACAGAAATAAAACACAGAGCTCACACTATATGGATGCATTCAAAACACGGACACAACTGCCATAGATGAAATTCTTTTTCCCTCCTCCTGCCATAGCCACTGTTTCCACTATCCGAGCTCTCCATTCTGCAGGTATTCTGTGGGAAAACTCGCAGGGATGTCCAAGGCCCCGGTGCCGATGGCAGCAGCGAGGCCGGTGCCTTGGCACCCACCTCACGTCCTGCTCGTGCCCACCGGAGCGCTGCGCGGTGCCAGGCCTGCCATGCTCCCCAATAAATCACCGCTAATGAAGCATGCTGCACATGCCGACAGCAACAGGCATCTTCTAAGGGTCCAAACGCAAGGAGAGCTAAAGGTGGAAAGAGCTAAAATAGTGAAATCTATCAAGCTTCTGGTTTCTGACCTCTCCTGTCCACAGCCAAAGGAAACACTGCTACCAGTGCCAGGAGAGCAGCATGTGGGTACTGCACGGAGGAGACCCGAGGGCCTAGCAGCTTCAGCTCCAGGGTGTCACATTCTGCTAAACATCTGTTTTCCAGTCCCGACAGAAACACTGCCCCTCCAGAGTAGCTCTTTTGCATGATGAACAAGAGGGAACTGAAGGACGATGGCAGGGGGAGTGAAGGGCGCCCAGGGCTCCCACCCTGAGCTCTCCTCACTCCCAGCACGTCCTTCAGATCCTGACAAAGATCACATTTCTTTGCTGAAATGATCCCCTCCTGAGTTGCATTTATATAATGCATAACTCTCATATTATGAAATATAGATGGGCATATTGTGCCCTATGAAGCAAATGACACAGATGCAATGCGTTTCTGAGAGGGGCTTATAACAGCAACAGAACATGTCAAAGAGTGAATCATCTAAAAATAAGACTGAAAAGGTAATGTCAATTTTTACATTTTGCTTCCTCCTTTGGACATTTGTTCATGCTCACTGGATAGAGATTTGATCACACTTTATCCAGGGAATTTTAACACCTCTAACAAGTGGAAGTGCCCACCTCACTTCACTCAGTTCCTTTCTCAATATATCTGTGTTCTATCTTTACATGTAATAGCTTAAACTAGAAGCTCTAACTTATGCCAGGATGCTCAGATAACAACTGTCACATGTCCTTGCACCATGCCACCCTATTGCACTAATTCCCCGGAAACCCTCATCACTAAGAAAAACAACTCGATGGAGACAACCACCCATCTCCACGCTGCTATTCCCCTCGCAGAGCCCTGGGCTGCTGGGGAAGCCTAGATTAAGGCTTCTGGTGTTAACTGAAGGACAGGCTTTGTCCCCTAATTTTGCCTTTCCACCACCAGGGATACATTGAAAAAACTCACCCGAGGTGACACCTATTCAATATCATCCAGACTTTCTTAACGTGGAGGAAAAGCAACTTTCCTGTTAGGAGGAACACACACCCAAGAAGGGCTCAAACCAGAGCTAACATCATCACAATAAAACCTGCAAGTGCTGAAACTTCCCAGCCCAGCACTCTCTATAAATTAGTATTTCCTCTCTTCGGAAAATGCACTTCTCTTACTAGTGGCTATTTACCTTAAAAAACAGTATTTTAAAAACAATTCCCAAATTCACACACAGTAAGATCTGCAATACAGCACTTTGCAGGTTTAAAATGAATGGCTATTGTGTATATCCCAGGAAAACGGAATAACCTCTGGCACAGAGGGAGCAGACCCGGCTTCTCCAACCCGCGGGTGCAGGGACAACTTGCTTTGGAGCCAGCAAGTCCCAGCTCTCCCAGCCTTGCCAGGGATTTGCCATTGATGGCCATAGCTCAAAAAGGCTTTAATGCCAGGGGCGCTTTGCTGGTAGTGAAGGAGCCCCCCAGGATCCCCGGGCAAGCTCCAGCTCAGCTATCCCCATGCGACACGGGCAGCTCTGGGAACGGGGTGAAAAAGGCAGCTTGGAAAGAAACACCACCCTGCAAGGTGATTGCAGGGTGATTCCTCTGAGGACCCTGCATCCCCAGGTGCACCAGTTCAAAACAACAGCTCCCAGGTCACCCATTACCACACAAGACTTCAAACCTCGATAATTGGGGTGCTTGGGCAGAGAAATAGCTGTCACTGCTTTGTAAAACTCCGGAATCTGTTAGGGAAGGAGCAAAAACACATTTTGATAACCCTGTTATTTTATTATTTACTATTTTGTTTTCCCAAAGTTTACTTTAAAAGGCAGCCCTGCGTTTGAGTGTTTAAGAGAAACACTGCTGCTTTCGCCCAACGGCTTTTTCAGATGTAAGGTTAGGAGCCTGGCACTTTATTTCCGCTATGATGCCATTAAAGTTCTACCCTTTTGGACTAAAATACATCCTCTCTTATTTTTCCAACTAATGGCATCCAGAGAGCCATAGATATTTTCTCTTACTGACAAAAATAGGTTTCCTAGAGCAACTGGAAGCAAAAGCATAGACGGTGGGTTTGTTTCTCAGCATTTGCTGGTATATTGAGACCTAAACTGTAGCTCTAATGCAACCTTCCAAAAAAATCAACATGATTCAAATTTAGGGCTGAATAAATAGTGACAAAGAGATTAACGGTTTTTGTAGTTTTGTGATTTCTGTGGGTTTGTACCGCAGGTGCTCAGTATTCCCTCTATCCCCAAGTCTGCGACAATCCGGTCGGGAATGCTCCAGGACTCGGCACTCACATGAGGGCACCCGCTGGCCTCTGTGTTTCTACCTTATTTAATATTAGAGCACTTTGTATCCTTCTGGCAATATTTACGACATAAGTCATCTAAATGGTACAGAGCAAATCAGTACAACAGGTTTTTCATAGCATGAAATGATTTTGCTGACCTCGGATTACAACTATTTGGGCCTCAATTTTTGCAGTGTTCAATATGCCCGGGAGAATCCCCATTTCCATTCGGAGGCAGTAGTTTTGTTTCATGTTACACATGGTTAGGAGCCAAAATTGGAGCCGGCTGAAACCTTTTCCCCATCCCCCTGCTTCTTGTCTAAGCAGCTGAACTCCAAAAACCCTCTCAATTCCTATGCTGTGACAAATTCAGCTGCAGAAAACATTTCTCACGGATTTTAGTTACTTA